GAATCAACGAAGCCGCCGCTCTCCCGAGCTATTAACCCAAGAGCAATGCATGGAGTGAAAACCAATTGTTCTCCTTCTTGGAAGCACAATGCTTTTGTCAGAAGCGTCGCCATTCAAAATTGAAATACGATATTGTTTTACGGAAACTGTTTTCAATTCGCGTATAAATAGGCTGCGTTCAGCAAAAAAAAAATAGTTTTGCACAACGAGAATTTTTTAATATGTATGGATTGGTTTATACACATTTAGATCCAGGAACTGAGAGAGAGAGAGAGAAAGAGAGAGAGAGAGAGAACAAGGCTAAATATATTAAAAAAATTATTAACAATTGCAAAGCTGCTGTTTCTATTGAACGTATAGACATCTATAGACAAAATCTATAGACAAAACGGTCAACAAATCAAATCGAGCTGGAAGTTGACCAAAACAGTTTGAGTTTCGCGATAAATATAAAATTTCATTAATATTGTTAACTATTAATTTAATTTAAATTGTATTGAAATTTAATATAATATTAAAGGTACGTAATACTTAATTAGCAAATTTGTCGCAATCAGAGGTTTTAGTAGATCCATTAGCTACTAATACTATTTGGCCTATCCTTTTCAACTGAACTGTTATAATTCGTGCACTTTTAGAGATTAATTAAATTTATAGATATAAAGTTTTTATTCTTTCTTTATCGCCCACATTAAACAGAAAACAAAAATAGAATGACGCAATAGCATTGATAGCGTTTCTTAAATGTAAATCAATCCACGTTTAACTTTAACCAAATTCATCATACAATCAGTGAGCTTTTTTTAAATTAATTCTATAATGGTCGAAATTTTATTTAAAAATAATGACATTTAAAGAAATAACAAAATTTAAAACTTAAAAAAAGATTAATAAATTAATATTTAAAAATAATTCAATTAAGAAAGAGAGATTTTAAATTTAATTTAATTTATTTTAAATTAACCAAATTAAATTGAAAGTATTAATCTTTATTTAACTTTTAACTCATTTAATATTAACTTATTAGTTACTGTATTCAACCCAGCTAAATTTTGGTACCAGACAGACATAACTGAATATTAAACTAAATGACTAACTAAAAAACAACACGTGGCTGAGATGTGCAATATAACGCCATCTCTCAGCGCGTGTTTGAAATTAATTTCCTCGCAATGTGCAATTGGAGGCATGGTACATATTTGCTCTCTGATTAATGTTATTAAATATTAACAAAACTTCCACTTTATAAAAATAAACTTAAAAAATTAACGATTTAATGAGAATTTATCTATATCTGTGAATCACTCTCTCTCTCTCTCTCTCTCTCTCTCTCTCTCTCTCTCTCTCTCTCTCTCTCTTCTATGTAAGAGGAACAAATTATTTTCACAACGTAAACAAATTTTAACAACAATTTTTAAATCATTGCTCGATTCAATTTTGTAAATAAATTATAAATGACATTTTTACCTAAGTTGCAACTTTTTTTTAGATAATTTGATAACTATATATTACAAGAGCGATAATTTCATGTTTCTGTTTAAAGATTTACAAAATTCTTCCAAGAGTTAAAAAATATTTTTTCTATTATTATTTATTATTTCTAATTACAAAGAAAAGTCACAATTATGCTTATCAATTTCTAACACAAAAATAACAATGCTCTTACTAATCTTTATATAAAATGATATTTTCAACATTTTCCTAATAGTCAAACTTTGACAGTAAAAACAGGAATAGAGTAAGAATAGTTATATTGCACTATTCAGTATAAATAAATCTGGCAAAACCCTCGTGGTTCAGCAGAACACGTCTATAATACTGTTTCGTGTCCTTCTAACGAATACATAAAACTCAAAATAAGTAATGTCAAAAATGCCAATAAAACAACAAAGTACTTATGTCAAAGCACTTTGTCAAAGTTCTTTGTCTGATAAAAAAATCATAGAATACAAAATATTAACACACAAAAGAAGATTAGTTGATACATATATGTATATATTGCGTTCCATTAATTACACACACCTGTGCACAGTGTTCTTTCAGATACAGTGTGTAACAATAATTATATCATTACACAAAATATGGCAAATAAAGAGATATGTATAAAGAGATATGTATAAAAGTAATATGTATAAAACTGGTTTAGAATAATAATACACATAGCAAACATCATTCAAAGTTGCACTGTTCTATACTGACAGTTGAAGTGATTTGCAATAGTTCTTCTCTTTCAAAGGAGAAAAATAGCATAATTTAAAATACTTACCTATAAAATAGGATGAAAACAGTTTAACAAATGAACCAATTATACTGGCTTATCCAACAAACACCACCTGTAACAAATAAATTCGTATGTCAGTTATGAATGTATACTTGGAGTTAATGTTTATATTTAATTTCCAGGCACAAAAGTAAGACAAAAGAATTACAAACATGATTGTCGCTCTACTGACAACTTAATTTTAATTATCCTCATTAACTCGACTGTGATTTGATTTTTTGTATCTCATAGTAAGGGAAGAAAAATTGAAAATCTAAGAAAACTACTCTACAAGAGGTATCGATACCTCTCGTACATAAATTTTAAAGATTCCATATATCAAGAGTACACTATAAGAACGAGAGACGGTTCGACACACCGGCATGATAATAAATTTAGAAATGTTTCCACACCCCGACAAGAATGTCTTCGCGAATACCTCGCAAGTGTAAGTAACATCGCAGGAAAACGTGCACGCCGCTACTTCTCCATGATTCGGCGCGGCGTTTTGCTCTCTCCCTCTCTTTTCTCTCTTTCTCACTCTTCCCCTCTACACACAACTTAATCCGAAAGTCAAGGTTGCGCGCGCGCGCGACTTACCAGTGTAAGGTCAGAGCGGTCATGCGAGTTGTTTATGTCGTCGATTGACGAAGCCGGGCGCCGTCTAAGCCTGCAGCAGTCACGTAAATTTCACGATTCTCGCTCGCAAATCTCACGACGATAGTCGTGAGCCCGACTCAACGGTCGGGCGGACCAAGATTTCCTTTCCTTTTCGTCCACGAAAGAGAAACTGATCTCACGCGATAACAACGAACGAACGGACCGACCGACCGACCGACCAACCGTTGGCGCCGATCGCGACTTTCGAACTGTTGCGATTATCGAAATCGAAATCGCAATCGACATGAATCGGACAACTTCGCAGTGCCGCGGTTGGATGCGGATAACCTAACACCGCTGCTCCGTCCCGATTTCGCCGCGGCGCATCGCGACGAAAACGTCATTTCGAAAGTAACTATATTCGCGCGTGGAATCGGCGTCTCGTTGTATATTATTGTGCAATCACATTAAACTTCTTTCGCGTCTACTTATATCGCGTATAAAGTGTATCTTCTAATCGTGAACATGATTGGCGCCTTCGTTTGACTCACGTTAACTTCGGGACGCTCCGCAAGTCGCGTGGTCGGTGGTCAGTGATGGCGGGACAATCTCACTAGGCTGCGCATGCGTATACTACGCCACTGCGGTCTATAGTACCGTCAACGCGATATTTTGATTGGTTAATTTGTAATTCTTTCTTCTGATTAGTCCATCAATCGCTTCAAAGCATGAATACATTTCTTGCAGTGACAATTTTAACATAATCTCAACAAACGATTAAAATTGTTTTCAGAAGAATCGCACGTTTTGTAATTATAGATATTACTCATGATGACAATGGGTGCTTTCCAACAAGCGGCACAGATGATACAGTGTAACAGTACATCCTTGTTCGCCAATGTTAAACAAGGATGAGATGATCACTGTGTTGTACTGTCGTTTATTGGAACGCACACTAATGCCCATTTCCACCAATGCAGATTAACTTTAACTCGGTTCAATTTGCTCTTCATCTTTTTCTAATTCTAAAAATTAGAAAAAGATTAATAGTATTAAAGTTAATCTGCATTGGTGGAAACAGACATAAAAGATTAATCAAAATGTCTAAATTTTTAGAACTAACGTTAGTTATACATATATGAAATAATAGCTCATTTATTACAGCGCTAATTATAGCGCTTATTATATATATTAGCGCTTATTATGTATATTTGTTATTTTTTAGGAATGTTTCTGTTGTTGATTGTTATATTCTTCAATTATTATTGATCATTATAAAAATTTTCTCATGATCAATCCTTAAAAATTTTTTATATACAGTCTTCTTCGTCATGGGATTTCTAAGTTGCAACTAGAAAAAAATAAAAAATTGAGACAACATTATACGGTGTTCCCAAGCGGTCACCCATCCAAGTACTAACCGTGCTCAACGTTACTTGACTTCAGTGATCGGACGAGAACTGGTAATTTAAAACGTGATATGAACGTTGTCCGATTATCCGTTCATTTGCGAATAGTTTTGTATGACTTTGTGATTTATAATCACCTTCATACTTTCAGGTCCATTTGAACATCTCATGATTAACTCTTAACCGATGTTCAACTTGACCGCTTGGGAACACCGTGTAATGTTATCCTTCAATTTTTTACTTTTTGCTTCAAGTTAAAAAAAATACTGTGAAGATCAAAATGATTTATTGTTATACATATATTGTATTTCATCAATAAAAATGTATGTTTCAGACGCAATAATATATACTGCAAAACTACAATTTTTCACCAATTATCACTCACATGGATAACCAAATTGGATAACAAAAAATGCAGTTTTAAATTGAATATGAATATTATTAAGTTCTAAATGCATGTAGACACATATAAGACATCAAAATATTAATAGATCATAAAATTAATGTCATATGAGCATTGATAATAGAGTATTATGAAATAAATCTAAATATTAAAAAAAGTTATACAAAGTTTTACAAAATTGTCAGTTCTTAACATCAGGTACTTTATTGATGTCTATATAATTTTTTTTACTTTTTATATGAATGAAAAACAAAATGCGATAAATTAGTGATGTGTAATAAAGAAATTAACAGTTTAATTCAATCATCAAATTATTATTTTCCTTATATCGACTATTATAAAAATATATACTTTCTCATATTCATCTATTACGATCCATGTTGCTCCATAAATTGTTTAAGAAGAGTCTTATCAAGAGGTATTATTAGGTGTTCAGCACCATCAACTGTACGTTTAATTCGTAGCAATTTATGATCAATAAATTCAGTCAACTGTGCTCTTAATGCCAAATCGGAACTAACTAGAAACTGTTCGCGCGCTGCTCGATACAAATCCCTAAACGGTATTCCTAAAATAGTATCATAAAATGATTATCAAATTATGATTAATGTGATATAACAGAAAAGTAATTGATTGAATAATAATTACCTGTAAAATTACTACTGCTGTTACTCAATTGATATTTGACAAGAATCAAATAAATTGCTCGAGCATTTGATGTAAGGGACAGGAAGACATTCTGGAGAGAAGATAATGCAAGTCCACTGCTTTGTTGAACCAATAAAGAATTTTCATATGAAGTTTCCGCTTGATATGGCAATAATGTTGTTGCATCCCACCAATAAAAATTAAACTTAGCGCGTTTTACATGGTCCCAAACTAAACCAATAAATTAGCGACATTAACTAGTAACAAATCAACTCTAAAATCGGCCTAACGATAAATATAACTTACGGAGTGGTGCATTTAGGTGATCAACAGATGCCAGGACATGAATATTTGAAATGGCTGCTAAATTGGCAAGTATACTTTGAGCTTTATTTGAACGCAGCATTATCCCATCAATATTGTGGATTATTAAATAAAGTCGAGCATCCAGATTGTCTTTCATAACCGTTTCTATAAGTTCTAAGCAATCATTAAGATTTGTTGGACAATTTAAGTCTAACAAATCCGTTATTATATTATCAAGTATCTAAAATAACATTTAATATATAACTTTTGTGTATATATCCTTTTATTTAATAATACATAAATTTAACTTACATCTTTCAGTGTTAAACTAGGGAAAAATCCATTTACAATTAATGTTGGATGATCTTCTATGATTTCTTTATAAAAATCATTTATTAAATTTCTTTTTGAGCCTACTCCATGAAGTAGCAGACTATAACCTTCTCTAAAATATAACAAGTTTTAAAATATAATGTATCATTAAAAAATATTTAATTATATTTAATACACTTACTCTAATATGAATTGCCACATAGGAAAGAATGATGTACAATTTTCTGTCAAGAAACAAATACGTTTCTTGTGTGTTGTAGAAATATGATTTTGATTTATTAATAACTCTCCTAATGATTCTTTGGTGAAACGATTGTTCTTAAGTCTTTCTAATGTACGATCAGATGTAACTATTTTTTCTGATTGAGATTCAAAATATTCATCAGTTTTTATGTGCTTTAAATGTTAAAAAAGTTCATTATTAAAATATAAATATGATCATAATTGAAATATTTACATTTAAGACATTTTGTAAATCTCAACTTACATAATCCTTGTAAGCAATAGTCTTACGTCCTCTCCCTGTTTTCCTGGGTGTACTTTGTACCTCACATTTCAATAAAGGTTTCAATATTTTTTGTTTAACTTGTCTTCTAGCATTGGTTTCCTGGCTTATATCAGAATCGGTATCTTCACTTTTATCAGAAGTTTCATAAGATTCTGAACTGGCTTCATCTGAAGGTATATATTCACTACCTTCTGATACACTCTCATCGCCACTTGAATTTACACTGGGCAAGTATCGTTTTCGGGATACTAAGTATCAGAAAAAAAAAAGAATGCAAATACGGTTTTTACAATTTGTAACAAAGTTTGTTTATAAAATGGGATACTTTTGCTATCTTTCTTGACCATTTGATTTTCAGGGTTTATCAAAATCTTGTCAAGGACAACTTTTAAGACTGGAAGCGTTTTGAAACTTTTTGGAGTCTCAGGTGTACGGCACTGATTGGCTTTAATCATCATGCTGTTTCTTTTTGTTGGAGTTTGAAACCCGTATAGTTTTTTTCCACTTACATCCTTTTCAGAAAATAATTCTAAAACATATTATGATACAATATTAGATAAGAATACAAAAATATATATGTATATATATATAATCTACTCATATAAATCTTTAACAATTACCAAATGGTTTTTGTACATCCTCTTCGATATCTTTTAGTTGCTTTTCTATCTCAGCATTCAATACATTAGTTTGTGCTACAAAAACATAAACAATACACAGATTACATTGATAATGCAGTACAACAAATTATAGTTTGTTAACATGAATAAATCTTGAAATATCAGACTGCTTCTAGAAGACTTATATTGATTGACAATTATATTAACATCTCTAGAATATTTATAATAATTTAAATCAATATAATCTTACGATTGTTCTCGGATGTTTCCTCGTCACTGACTTCTGCATATTTCACGTGGGGTTTTACTCGCGTAGATCTCCTCACATTTCTGACAGAATCCATCGGTAAATCCATCGGTGAAGGTATAGAATGCCCCGTTCAGTTCAAATTTTGATAAAAATATATTTCCTAATCGAATCTTATTTAATAATGGATTAAAAAGACAGAGCAATGTAAATATTTTAACTCCTAAAAAATCAATGAAATTAGGCTTATTCGAAGCGTTTTTTAATATAACGAAAGAATTTGGCAAAAACAGCGTCGTTATGTACCGCGAATCGAGACATTAATTGTTAAAGTTGACAACTATTCAGTTTAGGAAATCTGTCATCGAAATCATGGTGTAATTTACACCATGATCGAAATCATCGGTTTATTTTCTTTTCCTGCACTAGGCTACACTAGGCTTGTTCTTTTTGCCTGCACTGTCTGCACCAGTTCAGACAAATTTTTTCGGGGTCCCACGTCGGTAAATTTTTTTAGAGTACCGAATAGTTCTGAGTAGCGTTTCGTATAGTTCTCGACAAGTTCTATCGAAAACTGTAAGGTGAAAAAGCGATTAGACCAACGGTTTGCAAGATACAGCTACATTTGTCAGAAGATCAACAATTTTTAAAGAGAGTATATCTCGGAAACCGCTGGTCCAATCGCTTTGAGCCCTAATACTTTTCGACAGAACTCGCCGAGAACTGTCCAGAACTCCGTTCAGAACTACTCGGTACTCCCAAAAAATTTT